TCAACGCCTTGTGGCCAGATTGAATCCTGCCTCATCTATGTAAATGAATTCATGAGGGTCTGGTTGGCCTCCAATTCCAAAACTCTCTGAAACAAAGTTTATGTAAATCCTGTCATTACTGTAATCCATCTCAAAGGGAACAGTGTAGAAGCTGCTTCATCCGCACTCTGTGTTTGGACAATGTCCGCGTAATGGTTGTGAGGCTGATGCTATCGATGTTATCAACATCTCATGGTCCTCCCATTCTAGTCTGAATTTCACGCAGTTTATTGCATTGTTTGCAACAACTATTTCTACAATGGCAAGCTCTTGATCATTATTGAGGACTTTCCTCTTCCCCCAGAGGGTGGAAGACGTTGCATTCTTTAGAGGGACAAAAAAATTAAACATATGCATTACTGTATGACCTTATTGACATGTCAAGTGAGAATAGAAACAATCCATGTAAAATGCAATACTTACCTGTTGGTTTGTTGAAAGATGCATATATGGAAGCAACCGTTGACCGCCTCAAATTGGGCTGCACTCTTTCACCAGCCTCTCTTAGTGAAAGACCGTGGTTGATTACATGGTCAATGATAGTGGCACGAATTTCATCACTGACTACTGTTCTTGGAGCCCTTGGAATGCCACCACCACGCATTCTTACACCTCTACCTTGCCCTCTCCTTGGGCCTGCTCCTCTCCCTGGTCCTGCTCCTCTCACTGGTCCTGCTCCTCTGGGCCCCTTGCTCTTACTCTTCTTCGTCCAGACATTACAGTGTTTGTCTTTTTCTGTTTCTGTTTCCAAACACATCACTCCTCAAAGTCCTCCTTTTATATATGTGTCAATGTAATAGAAGAAAAAAACCCTGCCACTAAGCCAGACTGGAATCAGCTGTGGTTGGCCCAATTTACCCAACATAAATCAGCTGTGTGTCAATTATTTGTTTGTTTATTATCAGCCAAGATATATTGTTTTCGAACTGATATCATTGCAGAAACAGAGGTTTTATACTGTATCTAAGGTTTGGAATATTGTTTTTGCTATTGGGGATGGTGTGTGTTAACATTCGTAAATACTACAAAAATAATCCATAATTTTGTTGGGAGGTATAGCTTGTCTGTTAAGAAAATTTAAGCATTGTGGAAATGTGTTCACTGACTGCGTATTGTGTGAAAACGATGAAATGTGTGAATGGTATGGCCACAAAAGACCGATGCTGTGCTAACTGTGTTTAGAGTTTTGAAAATGTGACAACTGATTGGACAAACGCTTGTTAGCGACTGAAAAAAACTGTAATGCTAAAACTCAGTTAGGAAAACTCCCCAAAAAAATCTTCAACAGGAAAAAAGGAATAAAACCTCAGAAACCAAAAAACTCACAACAACTATTCACTGGCATCGTCATTTAAAAGTTACAGTTTGGTTAACATCTGACTTGCATAATTGCCTATTTAAAAAAGGTAAAGAGGGTTGATTTCCTGTATACTCCAAAAATGAAAAAACTCCAATGATGATCTTCCTATGAACGGAGAGACGATTAGTTTGAAATGTTTACCAATAACAGATTTAATATACATTGAACTGCAGACAGATTATCTAGGTAAAGGTTAAATGACAGTATTGCAAAGCCCAAAGGTGAAACCAACCACACAGCAGATTATTGTTTTTTCTTTATAGAATTTAATGGTAATGAAAATAGTTACAGGTTACAACAATAGAGGGGATATCAATTAAGCAAGTTTAATTAGAATCAATAAAATATAAAATAAAAAAAATAAGAAATTTTTTGCGTTGTTAAGATTATTTAAAATCTTTTGAGTCAGAGAACAAACTCAAACCGAAGCAACAAACCAACAGCAATCATTTTACAGCAAAAATCAACAGTATTTTGTATTTTCTTTCTGTAGAACAGAATTTCCATTTACAGGCTAGTCTGCAACAACATAACCAGAGATTAAAAAACAAACTAAAATATAACAGGAAGTAAAATTAGAGTGATTTGAACTACAGAGTCACTTTCAATAATATTTTGCATATTTCAAAACAAACTATTGGACAAACTGTTGCAAGTGACTGTACCTGCAGCTGATCCTGTCTTCACATTCGAGTAAAGGGAGCTCTCCTCTGATTCATTATGCTGCCCTGTAAAGATGAGCAGATGCATCAAAAGATGAGTTAATACTGTCTTTTATTTAGGAATCACTGACCTGATGAATATTTTGACTATAATATTTATGTTTGTATACTCACCTTTATTACTACTGTGTTAAGCTGAATCAACGAGTATGTGACAGCTGGATTCATCTGCATCTGAAATATACCTTTTCTTAACTTACAGAATTGTCAGTTATGATAACTCTTCTCTAATATTCTTCTCTGTGTAAATAAATAAAATTTACCTAACATTTTCAGTGTTTTCTGAGCCTCTGATTGATTCAGAGAGACAAGCATCACCTGAAAATCAAGTCACGGTAAAATTGATCATTTCAACTTTAGGATACAAACTAAGCTGCTACTTTTCTGATGAATATACTCAAATATTGTAAGATTGTCTTAAAGATATAAATATGTGCAAAAGACATTGATGTTTAGACTCTTTGAGTTATTTGAATTGGGTAATGTCAAAGGTGTAACTCAAATTGCATTAAATGTATATACCATAAAGCAATGATACTATTATTTTAATGGTTGAGCTAATAATATGTGTTTTTTTCTGTCTCATAGTTTAACATCATTTCAGCTAGAGACAATGTAAACAATGACTATAACCAATTTTCAGTTCTGATCTTTTCTGGTTGTAGTAGATGAGTTTATTATATTCCAATCCTTTTTGACAAATTGACTAACTGAAAAGTTCATTTGGTTCAATGTCATAAACATGAAATGATAAATGGATCTGGATAATTTTTAAGGCTGACCATGCAGATGAGAGTAGTGCACTGTAGTTTCATTCTGGTAAACCACTTGATCTGGAGCAGAGCCCTGATTGGTTCTCTGTGGGGTCCTAAAATATAATAAAAAAAACATATATATATATATTAAAAATTTAGTAAATTCAGTAAATTGAATAAGGAACATTTAGTGCCTAAGAGAGAAGAGAAGTCTACCCACTTGGCAAAATTTGAATCTGTAAAAAAAATAAATGTTGTTACATTATTTTGTTTTGGCACTGAATTCAATAATGACTTTGAATAGTCAGATTATAAACCATCAAGCATCAGCAGGAAAAAGTCTCACCCTTTGACTTTCTGTAGCAACACAACAGCAGCAGAAGATAATCAGTAAACTTCCACAAACTGGCCGAACAATCAACAGCAGAAGAAATGAAGAGTCATCAGGCGCTGCTGTAATAAAAGGTAAGTATTAATAAATGTTAAATGTAAAAACTACACACACTACACACATGTGCGTACACATACATTAACACCTTATACTTCACAAATAAATAATAATATAAAAAACATACATGTACACATAAATATACAAGTGTATACTTAAGAGCACACATGCTTACACACAGTATACACATAGTATTTATAGTATAAATTGTACATAAATGAATGTTCAATTAAATGTCCAAATGTACATCCATGCAAGTGCAGTACACAATTAACACTTACTGTACATACCTGTGCACATACGTAATTATTGTTAGACTGTGTGATATTAGACATTCACAGTACATTAGAACCTCCTGTTTTAGTTTTCTAATTAGAGTATTTGTATTAAGTAAGTATTTGACAACCTCTTTTTATCTCAGATTGTGACATAGCTTCTGAAAAAGGAAGTTTTAAAGAAACAGATGTGGTGACACATTTCCTGAGTATTTCCACTAAGCCTTCGTCTGACTTTGACACTGCAGCAATATTCAGCCCTCTCCTGTCATTTTGGATGAGATATCCATTTCGGTAGAAAAATATATTAGAATCTGATGTCCCTGTCCTCAGTTTGCAGCCAAGACCAACAGACTGTCCCTCAGTCACAGGATGGACAGGATTCACCATCTTTCTGTGAAACAGTCAAATAATATCAAGTCGTTGCAAACCTTTTCATCGCTCATACACTTCTGCTGTTACTCTTACATAACCCAAGGTGATGGAGGTTTATAGTCACTGTGGCGTCAATTAATGACTGACAAAAAGAGAAGTTGCGACTGATGCTCTGATCAGATCAGGTAAAATTGCAATATTAATTCATCATTTCAGATATTTACAAATAAGCAGCAATTGCTCTTTATTATTTATTAATGGTGTGCAATTCTGGAGAAATCCAACACCATGAAACATCCATGCAATAGAGCGAACCATTACAAAGCAAGTAATGTAACTAATGTTAGCTTAGTTGTGGGTTAGCAAACTGTCGCTACAACTGCTGCTATGAAGCTAACGTGCACAGAGGACGAGGCAGTCCCAGAGCCAGCACAATAACTCCAGACAGATACAGTTAACATCACACCAACAGCTATGTTGGTGTACTAGAGAGTAAGTTGAATGTCCGTGGGCAGTTCAGAAATCATGGCTGGAACAGCTGGAAAAGTCTTGTGTGGCTCGGTCCAAGTCATTTTATTTGTTTCCCATTTACAGAACCTGGGCTGGGTCCAAACACCAGATTGTTTTTCAGCACACACATAGAACCGACAGCTAGTGGACCGTGAGGAGATATTTGTTGAATTTGACAAAAAGACTTGTATTGGATTAGAATCACATACCCAAAATTTAATTGGTTAATGTTACACAATGCCATTGAGGATCAATATGTCCTAATTCTTTGATAATAAGAGGTCTAATAATAAACACTGTGAAGGGCAGAAAAACTGATTTCATGGCGGGTTCCATGTCTCTCCTTAAAATTTCACTGCATTGGTTATATAATATAACCAAAAAATATAATCACCTATAAAATCTGAATATAAGATGTTAAATTATGTTATTGTGAAATTTGAAGAATTAAAACAAAAAAGGAATTACTTTGTACGGTGATGTTGACCGCGTTACTGAATTGAGCTGATTCAGACTCACACCAGTACACTGCAGTTTTGTTTGGAAGTTCGTTGATGTTGCATGTGGATCCAGTCATTGTTCCCCACTTAGAACAGTTTGACAGATGGCCGGCTTTAGTGAACCTCCTCACTCTCCACTAAGAAGAGTTTCCCTCACAGCTCAGTGAGACAGGCTCAGAGGAAAAGTGCTGCTCTCTGTCAGGACTCACTCTGACTGTTGCTGGATGAAAATCTGAAAAAGAACTAATGAGGTGTCAAAACAAACACAGAGATATCATGACATTGACAGCAGCACAGTGGAAATGATCTTTTGACTGTCTTAATATTAATTACAGTGGTTGCTCTCCAACTCATCCATTTACAAATCGCTTTTTACCAGCTGCCTTTCAGTTCCAAATGGGGTCAGTATGTGATAATGAAAATCTAGACTGTATTTTCTTTTTACACATAGTTTTCCGTTCAGTTATTTTAATCTCCTAGTTGTACCCATATCTTGTCTCTTTACATGCCTGTTTATTGTTGCAGGCGCCACATTTGCCACCTGTCCATGTGCCTGTCTGACCACAAATCAGTGTCTTTTAAACCTGCAGTGCAGAACTTTTGTTTTTCCTTTCCAGCAGTGAGAGTAACCCAAACACTGTTGATGAATGATGATGACGTATGCCTCTGCTATACTCTGTAACCTACTCCTTCGCTAGGTAGCTACATGACTAATTGTGGGGGCAGAATATAGGAAAGAAAGGAGGAAAGAAAGGCACTAACACACTGACCTTTAGACCAGACAAACATAGTGTTACTATAATTAGTGTAGTTCACTGGATCTCCTCTTCCAGCTCTGCACTTATATCCTGCTGTGTGTGTCTGTCCATGAACGATGTAGGAATCCTGTTCAGTCCCGTTGCTGCTGCCAGGTAGCAGCTCTTGGTCGTAGGAGTTGCCTGATAGTTTGGGAACAGCCTTAAACCAGAAGAACCTCCATCCTGCAGATGGATCTTTAACACTGCAGCTCAGAGTTACTGAGGCTCCAGGACTCAGCCAGGATGGAGACACAGTGAGGACAGGTTTGGTTTTATTTGCTGGAAATAGATATCCCAGAATTAAAACTCTTTTCTTGTTTATGGATTGAGTGCACTGTTTGGATCCTGCACATTTAACACATTTACCTCGAAACATTAAATGCATTCTTCATGTCCATTTATCCTCCTGGTTTACATCATTATCTGCGTGAAAGAGTTTAGTTCCTTTTTTAACTTAGCCAGACTAGTTATCATGAGCAAAATGGGTGGCAATAAACCACTGCTAAATGTAATGTTTTCAAAATATGAAATCATAATCACTACCACAATTAACACTGAGTTTAGAAAAAGTCTCACTTAATAATAATTTATATGTTTGCTAAAGTACATTTCCACATAATTTAAAAGCAGATCTATACTCACTAGCCTGTGTGTTTGCTACGTTGCTGGAATATGAAAGTTAACACTCTCAAGCACTTTATAGTCATATTCTCCTTTGTGTTGATACAAATGCACTAAAATGATGCACATGTTGATAATAAATGAATAAAGACAGATGATGTGATTAAGAGTGATGCAGAAAAAGGGAGATTGTGCAATCACCTTCAGCATGTCCAGAGTGGAGTGTATTCAGCACTAAAATAAAGATTGATATTTCATCAGATATTTTCACACTCAAACTGTCAAAATGAGAATAAACAAAGTCATTTAAAACAAAAAACAACTGTGGTTAGATAATGTCTAATATCAAATCTCAATCAACATTATCACAACACAGTCTTCCACTTTAAAGTCAGTCACCAGCCAAGAAACAAAAAGACAAGAAAATATTTAAAATATGTGTAGGTCTATAGTAAGCTAGAGTAACCAAATTTACCCGCTGGATATCAATAAAGGTTTATCTCATCTTATAAATACAGTATTAAATCATCATTGCTGACGAAACAACAGTGTCACAACACACACATACACATTAAACAGAAACCTACAGTTTCTAGACAACCCGTGATGCTGTGAATGCAACATAAAGTGTTTTTAGTAAGAACGAAAAGAGTACGTCAGTGATGTACTCACAGAATAACCCCAGCACACAGAACAAAGTATGTCCCATCTTCACATCCAAAACTGAAACACTACTTTAAAGCTTGAAAGCATACATTATGAGGAAGACTAAGAGGAAGCTGTGTCAGTAAAGAAGTTATTCATATCATATCAATATGATCTCACAGGCTGACAACAAATAATGTTTCTAAGAATAATCCACTCCTCCTTCCTTCCCCTTTTCACAAAGCTCACGCAAGTACAACCACTTCCTGCTCAGGCAAGGCAATTTAACTTGAGTCTTGTATATAGTCCCTGCTAAAAATAGAACAGTCACTTTGCACTTTTCATATCATATTAAAGAGAAAACAATGTTGGAATTGCACAGCTACGTTTTATGAATGGCAGTATCATATTTTGAATAAACAATAAAATGTATACATATAACTATGGATGTAAACACTCCGACGTACAGCTGATCACCTTCTGCCACATCATCATACAAATATACAGCCAATCACGTTATGTGACGTTACCTGCAGGCCCAGGCCCCCGTGCAGTTCTGACCACCCGATCACATCTGGTACCTACACCGGCTCCATCTAGCTCCGTGTGTCGTACAACAGAGCTGCTGGTAGAAAAAGCTGTTCAAAACAGGAGGAAATCTGACGTTCTATCTCACACAGGCGCCGCCCTCTACTGGACACTGCTTTTTATATTTAGGCACATACGGTAGCAACGTCCAATTGTTCGGCTACTTACAGAATGCAAATTTCAGTGGGTGAGTACGTGCGTGTGAAAGGAGGAGAGATATTACCCATAGAGTCCAGTAGAGGGCGGAGCCAGTGCTAATAGAAATAGGGTCACCATATCGTAACCTTCATTTTTGCTAACAGGGATTTCTTTTAAATACTTTAATCTTGTTATTTGAAGCTGTGGCCATGTTTAACACATACATCCAACGTTGTAATATTCTCGATAAGTCATAAAATATGGAAAAGCATAACAGGTGTCCTTTAACATCCTTAGCCACAATATCACAATACCCGCAATAATCAAAATTGATCTCACCCATGGGACGCTCTTGCAGAGGTCTGGAATGAAAAAGCTTCAACATGTTCACATGACATTTTTGTCGAACCCCTCTTCATACAAATCTGTGAGGAAGAAAGTGACTCCTTCGCCAACTCAGCAGCATGGTGTAACTGTTCCCTGCACAGAGGCAACACAGCCCAACACATGAGTTTTGGAAGACACATCACACACCATCTTCTCTCAATGCTTTTAATGGGCCACATACGTTTTGGCCAAACACAAGCTCAGCTGGGCTAAACCCTGTAGTGGGATCAACCAGCCTCTCACCTCAAGGAGGAGGTGAGTTCAGATCTTGCCAAAAAGTCTGGGGAAGTTTTCCTCCCCTGGAGTTGGCCTTTTGACGTGCAAAACAAGAGACATCGCCTGGTGTTTTGGTAAGGACCTGCAGAGACTTAATCAGACATGTATCCTTTAGTGACATATGAAGATTAGAGAATCATAAGAAAGTAAGAGTTTCATAATTTCCTTTTGTTTTGTTTTAATTTCTCCCTATTATTCCCTAGTAATCACTGTCTGTTTAGTATTAACTAATGCTTTAGCTAAATGTTTTGTATACAATTTCTTATTAAAACGTTCATCTGCATACTCCTCGTGTATATAATCCGCTTCCCAGTTCCCAGTTCAAGTGGTGACTCTCAAAGTTGAATATCTGTCCTCTCATAGAAACCGCTCTCCACCAAGAGGACAGAAAAAGGTATAACACAAAAGCGTTTATAACTCTGCTTACACCGACAATGAGCGCCAAATATCTATCACGATGTCACTGTATAATGGATTCTTTGCTGCAATGCTTACATCTATTTTGTCTCTTGAGTTAAAACATGTAACCATCAAGTTTACACGTGAAACATGTAGTTAAGCTTTGTTACGCCTTTTATTACAGTTTTTTATCAATTGTTTACACACAAATTCTGGTACTTGAGACACAATGACCACAACATGTAACTCATTCACCAACCCCCTGGACCAATTCTGCTAAACTACAAGCACAATTCCTGCTTTACACTCAAATTGCAGTTCTAAAACACACTTTTTTCAAAACACGACACACAATTCTCTGCTTTTGGCACAAGTTTCATGCTGAAAATATCTTGTTTTCACAAGGAACACACTGCCATTCAAATATGCACACTGACTCATCACAAGGGCAAACACCTGTCACACAGTTTTCCAATTAGCAATCAGAGCTTTAGCATAAAAGGGCAACAGGTGAGCTCTTCAATGGAGCAATGCCAACATTGGAAACAGAGGCAGAGCCAGAGGAGTGAGAGGAAGAGGAAGAGGAAGAGGAAGAGGAAGAGGAGAGGAAGAGGACGACGACGACGACGACGACGACGACGACGGTTAATCTCTGATGAGACCGAGCCACTTTGGTTGATCATGTGGTCAACCATGGTCTAACAATGAGGGAGGCTGGGCAAAGAGTACAGCCAAATCTGAGCAGGTACACTGTAGTATCCATCATCCGGACTTTCCGAAATGAGAATAGGTAAGAAATCTACTCTCACTAGCAAAATGCAGTACTGCATATCAATACAGTACTCAATGAGTATTGCCTGTGGACTGTTCTGTAGGACTGTAAAAATACTGTAAAGTATATTTCAAGTATTTAGGAAATGTATACCTACTTTGTATTTACAGTATTTTACTATTTGTTTGGCAGAACTGAAAGATTACCAACACAAAAACCTCTTCTGTCTCCTGAACAGGAAACTGAAATCATAAACATGGTCCTAGAAAACAACACCATAACATTACAGCAAATACAATGAAAAATAATAGAAAACAATGACATATTTCAAAATTTTGATAGGGTAAGCTTATCAACACTGGACCGTGCCTTGCGCAGAAATCATCTCAGGATGAAGCAGGTCTACAGGGTGCCATTTGAACACAATTCAAGAATTGCAATATTACTATGTGTAAGTGAGTCCCACAATTGATGCATACACTCAACACTGTATACAGTAAATTATACATATTTCAATATTGTAATCATAATGATTGTGCTTCACAATAGTGACCACTCCATGTCTCTTTCTGATATTGTCATGTGTGTTTCAGAGAGTCCTTGAGCTAGAGGTGGCTGCAGTGGAGCACCAGTTCATCTTCATTGATGAGGTTGGGTTCAACCTCACAAAAAGACGAAAGAAGGGAAGGAATGTCATCGGCCAGCGTGCCATTGTTGAAGTCCCTGGCCAGCGCGGAGGGAACATCACAATGTGTGCAGCGATTATCCATCACCATGCTACCCTTGGCCCCTACAACACAGCCCATCTGATCACATTCCTGGACACCCTACACAACACGCTCATTCCACCAGATCAGGTAGACGGCCCAGAGCAGCTCAGGTACGTTGGGACAGCGTAAGTTTCCACAGGGCTGCTCTGGTTCTTATCTAGTTCACTGTCCACCCACGCTTTTTAGTTTATCTCCCTCCATATTCTCCATTCCTCAATCCTATTGAGGAATCTTTTTCTGACTGTAGATGGAAAGTGTGTGACCAAAATCCACAAACGCATATACCTCTTCTCCAAGCTGTGGAGATACAGCAGCTGATGCTTTTCATGGCTGGAATCGCCATGCTAGGCGATATTTCCCCCACTGCTTGGCCAGGGAAAACATTGCTTGTGATGTGGCTGAGGTGCTGTGGCCAGACCGCAGAAGAGAGGATGCAGCATAGTTTGTTTTTTGTTTGTTTTAATGTAACTGTGTACAGTAAATTCTTCTGTTGTTTTGTATGTAGTGTGTGTGCAACTTTGTGTTGGTTGGGAATGGGATGTACACTGTGTACATTGTTTTTGTGGGACAAATAAATATATTGTTACCGTGTATTTGTGTGTTCTGAGTATAAAAACAATATTCTCAAATATTTTACAACACACTTGTCTGTAGTAAGTGTAACACTGAACAAAAAAAAGGCCTAAGTCATTATG